GGCGCCTGGCAGTCTTCTGGGCTGGTGCAGCGCTCGGGGCTGCTCACCGGGGAAGGCTGCCCACACAGAGTATCCCTCTGTGCTGTGCCTGCAGGGAACAGCAAGGCAAGGTGGACAGATGTGCTACTGAGCAGCTGCAAGGCTCAAGGAATAGATCCTTTATCACCACAACCCACAGTTCAGAAGGAGCAGATAGGGAACGGAACAGCCACCTGGTGTTCGTCCTGCCCAGCATCCTTTCCCCGTGGGCTAAAGCCTCCCCATTCCCCCGGGAATACTCTCCCCGGTCTCAGTATCCGTGTGCGGGGCTGAGGCTGACTCAACATCCCACCCTTCCAGGAGTAAACCCAGACGTGTTCAGACCAATCAATCCCTTTAGTCCAAACAGACCATGAGGAACTAGTTCAGTGATGGGCATGTGACCCAAGCCAAGCCCAAGAGGTACAATAGCGCGTTTTTTATTTTGGTTGTTGAAAACATAGGAAGGAGAAGCCATCTTTGTACTGGGCTTGGGCAGGAAGCAAGTCTGGATCTGGGGGAGGAGAGCTGAGAAATCGGTAAAGACAGAGCTCCTGGATCCAGCCATGCCCGACACTACCCAGAGCCAGCCCCAGACTGTGCAGTCTCAGGAGCCAAAGACTTTGAGCTTTTGTTACTTGCCACCCAAAGACTCCTGAAGACTCCTGCCTGCAAACACAGTGAAGAGGAGAACACTCAGCACTTGCCAACACCCGGAGCTGAGTTTGCCGCCACCTCTGTCATAGCCTCGCTGTGCCCTCACACTGTGTGACGCAGAGCGACTGCCCGATGAGCAGCACGTCCTCTTCCCCTTGGGATCCCTGTCCCGTTGCTTAGAGCAAGTGCCCCGTGTGGGATGACGATCTGAAGGCTTCAGTGGAGAAGCATGAACAATGCTGATGTATTTCTGAGTGCGCTGGGCTGACAAGGCCGGGGTGCGACATTCCAACTCTGGCTCAGACATTCCCTGCTCTGTGGTCTTGAGCAATTTACCTGCCATCTCTGGACCTCAGTTTCCCCAGTGCCAAAATGGGGCTACTTCAGTCTGCTTGATGGAGTTTTGAGAAATTCAGGAGGGAACACCCGTGCAAGCTGGCGCCTGCGGCTTAGCTACGGGCTGACGCTAGAGCAGAAACTACTGTCCTCTAATAGCTGGACAGCTGCCCTGTGGGTGCGTCCACGGTGGAGGCCAGAAGTCCACCAGCAGCGATGTCCCATAAAAATATGACGTGACTCACACTGTCATTTTAAATTTCCAAGTAACCCCATTTTCAAAAGGAAAAAGAAAAAGAAAAAGGAAAATGTGAAATTAATTTAATATATGTGAACCAATATATCTAAAATGCAGAGGTAGATAATCAATATAAAAATAATTATTGACATATTTACATTTTGTATGCTAAGTGTTTGAGGTCAAGGGCATGGCCTGCATGGCCACATCGCAAGCCCTCCACGGAAGCATGTGGCCAGTGGCACCGCTAGGGGCAGCACGGGCGTAGGGGCAGCAAAGAGAGGCCTCGGGCGCCACCATGCGGCAGGCGCGGGAACAGCACCGAAAGGGCCTCGCTGGCCGCAGTGGGTCCACAGGCGCTGCTGGAGGAGCTGCAACAACAGATTCTAGGCTACTGTTAGCAGAGATGCAAGAGTTTCAGGGCTGGAAGGTCCCCCCAAGGCCGTCTAGTGGCAACTTTACATTCACAGACGGGACGCTGAAGCCCAGGATGGGCTGGGAACATGCCCCTCGGCAGTAGCAAGCAATACCCCAGGTATCTGATGCCCAGCCCAGAGCATTTTCCACTCCCCCCACCTGGCCCTGTTTGCAGGTGGCGGCTTCCGCAGGCCCCTCAGGACAGCGTTCTGTGTGACCCAGGGAGGACTGGACCAGAGTTGAGCCCCACCACTGCCAGCACTGATCTGTCAGGAGCCCCCACATCCTTCAGCAAATATCTCTGCAGAGCACATTCTGTGCCTGGCCTGTGATCAGGCAGTGGGGAGATGACCTTGGCCCTCATGAATCTACGGCTCAGGGAGGGAGGCCAGCGTTCATCAAACCAAGACAGACACCAGTGTTCGTATCCCTGTTGGAAGAGGACCCTGTGTGATGAGAGATCACAGTGGACATGTGTCCCGGGACAAGTTGTTGAGGCCTCTTGAGGAAGTGGGCAGTGGACAGAGAGGCCAGGCAGAGCCGGAGGTGACTGAGCGAACAGGAGGAAAGAATGTCCTGAGGGACAGCAGGCACAAAGGGCTGGTAAGAGTGAGAAGCATTGAATGACCACGGAGCCGAAAGCGAGCAGGGCAGAGGAACCCAGAAAGTACGGCAGCTGGCCTGAGTCTGACCTGGGGGAGGGAGGGTGACTGGACACAGGTCGTCTTCGAGACTGCCTGTGGGAAGATGGGCTGGGCATCTTTTGCCTGCTCCTCCCACTACGGACAGCTAAACACCCTGGGCATATGTATAAGACAAAGAAGACTCAACAGTGGTGAGTCCCCTGCGGTTTCTCTTTGATCACAGATCCCAGACATGGAGCCTGATAAACCAGGAGTCCAGAAATGCCAACGGGCACAGAATTAAAGAGAGAAGTCCCTCAAACACCGGCTCTCTTCTGCCAAAGGATCGTGTCGTTATGGTTGCAGGAATGAGAAAACGCTGAATGGTTTTTACGGCACGTGTGTGGGGTGACAGAGACAGACAGAGAGAGGCAGATGTGGTTACACAGAGAGAGGTTAGATGGGCAAGCAATGACAGGAGGAAATGGGGGTGGGAAAGGGAGACAGCTGGGGACAAAATCTGAGGGACGGGCTGTCTGTGGGGGGTGAGGAAAGACTGGGCTGTGGCCGGAGAGGTGGTAAGGCTGGGGCTTTGGAAAAGCATCAGGTGAGGAATGGGAACGCCGAGAGCACTTCCCCCCCCAGTGGGCACGGCTCCCTCGGATTCCGGCCTGCAGCCTCCGAACGGGTGCGGCGCTGGCCCTGCTACGGGCCCTGCTCCAAAGCCCACACTCTCCTCACCTCCCCGAGAGGCTCTCAGCACCACCTACACCCGATCTGCGGCTCTTACCTCCTTTCTGGCCTGAGGCTCCTTGTCCTGTCACCAAATCAGAAGCTCAGAGAAGGTAAGGAATTTGCCTGAACTCACACAACAGGTTGGAAAAGAAATCCAAGTGTCTCAGCTCCTCTAACTCCCAATGCCTCAACTGTGAATTGGGAAAAACAGCCCAAATACTCTGGGAAAATCCCAGGACAGAAGACTTGAGGTTTGCTGTTGTTTTTCAGGCATCAGAGAACTTGTGCCCTGAGTGCCCACTAAGCCAGCACTCCCCCAGCCAGGCCCGTGTCTCAGGCCATCAGTCTCTCTGAGCCTAACTGGTGCTCCTACAGCATCTCAAAGAAGACAGGGTCTGTCCAACAAGAAGGAGGAAGGAGATCAGAGGCCATTTGGAGATCTGGGGCAGAGGTGGGGGAGGGGTACAGCTTGGCACAGGTCTTGGTGCAGGGCTGACGGTGGGGATACTTACCCTGGACCTTGACAATCAACCCTTGAGGGCACACGGTGTGGGGGATGCAGCGGGCACAGGTGTTGGTGACTGGTAGTGCACAGAACATGCCAGTGCGGCACTCACAGACGCGGGAGGAGTTCCCTGAGCATGGCATCTTCTCCACAAGATCGTCTAAGGGACACAGAGAAGGGGCATGGGAGACAGAGGGAGGACCGGGGAAGGGATCCAGAGACCCCTCCGGGACAGCCTGGCAGGGGAGACAAGACATCGTTCTGGCCTCCCCTCGGGCAGGGAGCCCGCAAGCTCGGCCCTTCTTTCCAGAGGGTTCCTGCAATGAGCAAGACGGTAGGCGGGGCTATGAGGCAGCCTCCAATCCCTGCCCACATCTCTAGACGTCATTACAATCGTATTAAAAAGACATTCGTGACTCCATTAAAATGAAATGGGGGAAAAAATATGGAGGATTCTTAAATGCATATTGCTAAGTGAAAGAAGTTCGTCTGAATTGGCTACATGCTGCATCATTCCAACTCTGTGACATTCTGGCAAAGACCAAACTATAAAGACAGTAAACAGATCAGTGGTTGCCATGGATTAGGGAGGAGAGCCCTAAACCTAATGTTCATAGCAGGAGGGTTTCTAACAGCCAAAAAGTAGATATAACCCAAATGTCCATGAACCAATGATTGGATAAGCAGAAAGTGGTACATCCATACAAGGAAATAGTATTCAGCTATGGAAAGGAATGACCGGTACTACAACATGGATGAAACACTGCAAAGTGAAAGAACCCGGTCGTGAAAAGCCACATATTGCATGATTCCATTTAGCTGAAATGCCCAAGGTAGGCAAATCCATACAGATGCAGTGTAGATGAGTGACTGTGAGGATGTAGAAGAAGGGGAGAACTGGGAGGGAAGGGGTTTCTTCCTGGGGAGGTGGAAATGTTCTGAAATCAAATAGTGGTGGTGGCACGTTGTGAACATAAAACCAAAACAGAACAAAGAAACAAAAAGAAACCAGTACAGCACACTTTAAAATGGTGACTTTTACTCCCCTGCTCACACTTGGTCTCTCTCTCTCTCAAAACTAAAAATAAACATTAAAAATTTTTTTAAAAAGGGGGCACCTGGGTGGCTCAGTTGGTTGAGAAACTGACTTCAGCTAAGGTCATGATCTCACAGTTCGTTGGTTCAAGCCCCGCGTTGGACTCTGTGCTAACAGCTCAGGGCCGGGAGCCTGCTTCCCTTTCTGTGTCTCCCCCTCTCTCTGCCCCTCCCCTTCTCACACTCAGTCTCTCTCTGTCTCTCAAAACTAAAAATAAACATTAAAAGTATAAAAATAAAATAAAATAAAATAAAGTGACTTTTAGGGGCACCTGATTGGCTCAGTCGGTTAAACGTCAGACTTAGCTCAGGTCATAAGGTTCGTGGAATTGAGCCCCATGTCGGGCTCTGGGCTGAGAGCTCAGAGCTTGGGGCCTGCTTCAAATTCTGTATCTCCCTCTCTCTCTGTTCCTCTCCCACTCACACTTTGTCTCTCTCTCTCAAAAATAAACATTAAACAAAAATTTTTTAATGGTGACTTTTAGGGGCACCTGGCTGGCTGAGTTTGTAGAACATGTGACTCTTGATCTCAGGGTCACGAGTTTGAGCCCCACGTTGAGGCTTATTTCAAGAAATTAATTAATTTAAGGAAATTATATGGTGAATTGTATCTCAAGAAGAAAAATATCACCGGTATAAGTAATTAACAAATGCAAACATCCCTCGAAAGCAATTCAGGGCATCCTTGGTCCACCGAAAATGAAGGCTTCCTGCAATACGGAAGGTAGATGGGATGCATGGAAGAAAGAGATCAAAGCCCAAAATACACCCAAAAGGATTATTCTGGGAGAGGCCCTGGGGTGGGGTGCTCCGGTCTCCAAGTGGGTGAGGGCAGGGGCAGGCCTCAGGGAAGCTGATGGGTGTGTCCCAGGAGCATCCACGCTTCTCACCCACTGCTGCCACACACCCGGAAGCCCAGCATTTCCCCCGGGAGACTCTCGCAGGAGGTATCAGGACAGTGCCCTAGGCCGGTCATACCTGGGAGGCAGGGACCCTGCAGGCCTAGATCAGCCACTTACAGAACCCCTCCCAGTCACCATCAGATAGGATGTGCAGAACTAGAGGTCACCACACATGAGAGAAAACCAGCACCAAGAAAAAAGACCTCCAAACTCACAAGAACTCTTGAGAAAGCAGATAATAGAAAACAAAAAAACAAAACAACAATAACAACAACAACAAAAACAGAACAAGCTGTTAGAATCAGTACAATGAATATTCTCAGGCACTGGCAGCGATAAAACAGAATTCCCTGGAGCTCAAGGAAGGAAGTAAAGGAAATTGAAGCCATAAAAAGAAGCCCTCTGGAGCACAATGCTGTGTTCACCAATTCAAGTGGGCTCCCAGAAAGACTACATATCCCAGCCTCCCTTGCAGTTTGGGTTGGGTCATATGATGGTATTCTGGCCAAAAGGATGTGCGCAGAAATGATAAGGGCTTCTCTCAGGCCTGGCCCCTAAACCCATCTCAGGAGGCTCTCTCATCTCTCTCTTCCTTACTGTGGTTGCACTGGGGTAGCCCCTTACTCTGTCCTGCACCCCAGAAGCAGTACTGAAGAGAGCATACAATCCTGAGAATTCTACAAAATCTAAGAAAGAGGCAGGCCAACTGAAGGCAGTGGATTTCACTGGAAAATTCATGAAAAAAACCCTTTGAGGGGCCCCTGGATAGATAGCTCAGTTGATGAAGCATCAGATTCTTGATCTCAGTTCAGGTCCTGATCTCAGGGTCATGAGTCAAGCACCACAATGGGTTCTGCACTGGACATAAAGCCTACTTAAAAAAAAAATACCCCATCCCCTCCAAGAATAGTAGCCCAAACATAGTTATCTCAGACCTGAGCAAAGGTGGGAAGGTGCCGGACTGGCTAACTTTCGGGTGGACATCAGCAGAGGCCCCAGGAGTCAGGTACACCTCTCTGCAGCTGCAGGGGCTCTGCTAATAACTATCTCGCAGAAGGGAAGGCAGATCTCTGCTCCGGCAAGGACGACGACACTCGTCTCTGGATGCACACGGCCTCCCACCCAGTCCTCAGACTCCTGAACTCAGTTTCAAAAATAACACTCAGGATTCCTCAAAAATTTAACAGGATTACCACATGATCCAGCCATTCCACTTAAGTCTATTCCCAAAAGAACTGAAAGCAGAGACTCAAACAGGTATGTGTAGACTCACGCAGACAGCAGCAGTATTCACAACAGCTGACAGCAGAAGCACCCCAGTGTCCACCAACATGAATGGAGAAGCAAAACGTGGTAGATCCCACCAACGGAATACTATTCAGCCTTGAAAAGGAAGGAAATTCTGACACTGGCTACAGTACCTTGGAGACATTATGCTAAGTGAAATAAGGCAGTCTCAAAGGATAAATATTTTATGATTCTACTTATATGAACTTTCTAGAGTAGGGGATGGCTGGGTGGCTCTGTCAGTTAAGGCCCCCACTCTGAGGGGTCTTGATCTCATGATCTGAGGTCATGATCTCATGGTTCGTGGGTTCAAGCCCCACGTCGGGCTCTGTGCTGAGAGCCTGCTTGGGATTCTGTGTGTCCCTCTCTCTGCCCCTCCCCCGCTCATTCTGTGTCTCTGTCTCTCTATATAAATAAACATAAAAAAAAAGAAAGAAAACAAAACAAAACCTTCTAGGATTCTTGTGAAGATTGAACTCAATAAATGTGAGTCCCTCCCAGAGGAAACAGGTTAACTAAGTCTCTCTAATTACAGATGCAAAACACTGTGGCTGATCCCAACCACAAATCCAGAGGGGTAAACTGAGGCACCGGGGGGTGCTCCCCACCTTCTCTGCCACCCGCTTGGGGGGTGGGGGCCCTCCCGTGAAGCTGCCCCTAGAAGGGGAAAGTGGCCCTTACCTCTAGAACAGCTCACACAGGCCGTGCAGCGGCCGTTCCTGTCCAGGTAGTAGTCGGGCTCACACTGCTTCCTGCAGTCAGGTGACCCCGGGAAACAAGGCCGGTGCGGGGTCAGCCCTGGGGAAAGAAGCAGAGAAGCTCCAGGCCAGGCCGCCTTGGCAGAGACCCCACCTCCCCAGCCGTCACCTCTCACCCCTAAAGCCATCCCCAGCTCCCCCCCTGAGCCCCCAGACATGTCAGTCCGGCTCTCAGGTTACAAACAGAGGCGCTGGCTGGTGAGAAGCCCGCTGTCCTCAAGGGCCGCGGGCAGCTGGGCGGAGCCCTGGGCCCAGTGTTGTTAAGGCTGTTGAGCCGGTGACAGGGGTGTGAAAATAAACGTGTGTCCTTGGCACACAGCAAGCGCCGGAGGAGCACTGGCGGCCTTTCCCTCGTGGCCTTTCTCACCGCAGGAACTGGGGAGCCCTAAGTCCCTAGACCCTGAGCAGCCTAAGCCAGCCTGAGACACACGCAGGTGAGCGGGCCGCCCCAAACTGCTCCCTGCTCCCACTACACAGGGAAGCAACGTGAATCGCGTTGATACCGACCGCCCGGGGCAAAGCGAGCAGGCCGCCGTCACCTGCCGCGTGGGCTCTCGGTCCAGTCACGTTCTGACTGGCCACCCGCCCACAGCTTGATTCCAAGATGGCCACTGACCCAAGGCCAATCAGAGTACGCCTCATCCTTCAGGTGGGCACATGACCCAAACAGGCCAATCAGAATACTTCATCCTTCAGGATGGGCACATGACCCAAACAGGCCAATCAGAATACTTCATCCTTCAGGATGGGCACATGACCCAAACAGGCCAATCAGAATACTTCATCCTTCAGGATGGGCACATGACCCAAACAGGCCAATCAGAATACTTCATCCTTCAGAACGGGCACATGACCCAAATAGGCCAATCAGAGCACATCTTCCTCACCATTGTAATTGCTTCTTAAAAGACACCGTGACGCATGCCAGCCAATGAGGCCATCCCTGAGAGTTTCACAAAAGCTACCGGGAAATTGCCCGTCTCTTTACTGTTGGATTTCTGGTGTGCGAGGGGTGGTTTAAGTCCAGTGCTGCCAGGTCGTGGCAGGTGCAGGATGGGCAGGGTGCCTGAGAAGGAGATGATTCAAAGGCGAGCGGAAGTCCAGAGACAGACAGAAATGGACTGCTGAGGGCATTCTAACTGAATTTATGGTGCCGTGGACTTATGTCATTTCTCTTTTGTCTTGTTTGTGTCTAAATAACTTAGGCCTGAGTTGGTTACAGACCAAAGAAGCTAAGCCATGGGTTCTCAATATTTCTTGTGCCCCCTAGTCATTCTGGGGAAACCTGGGACACCGCTCAGAATCGTGTTTCTGAGCTCATAAAATAAAATACAAAGGATTACAAGTGAACCGTGTGAGAACACGGTTATCAAAGCATTAAAATAATTTAAGATCTAGCAATATATGTGATTCTTTGTAAAGTCATTAAAGAAAGTCTAATAAATATGGCTTCATAGTACTGATGAGCATAAATATTTCAGGACAACCGTAGCAACTATAATTGCAATATATCACGAGAATGTCTGATTTCTACTGATGGAAAAGGTACTACGATATTATTACTGTGGTTTGTCGTCTTGATTCATAACGTTAGGAATTAAATACAGGGCATTTTAGTTAGAGGCTTATGAAAAATGAGTGACCTCGTTCAGGTTCAGGGCCTCCCTGAAATCTACCCATGGGCACTTGGGAGTCCGTGGACCCCAGGGCAAACCCCTGCTCTAGAACAACATGGAAGAACCTCTCAAAAATACTAGCTTGTTGGCTGACACCCTCTAGCTCAGAAAACTTCAGTAGCTTCCCAGTGGTCTTTCAGAGAGGTAAATCTGATCCTATCTTCCCTTGCCTAAAACTTTCAAAGACTTCACATGGCTCCCAGGATAGAGGTCTAGGGCCTTACTGGGTTAAGGAGGTTCTGCACACCTACACCGCCCCCTATCTAATCTCTAGCCACATTGGCATCTCCATGTCCCCAAAGGGGCCATGCTCCCTTCTGCCCCCAGGGCCTTTGCACAAGCTGGCCCTTTGCCGGGAACGTTCCTCTCCCCTTTCCCCTGGTAAACTCCTGCTCAGCCTTCACGTTATTGTCAAGGTATCACTTTGTCAGCAGCTTGGCCAGCGTCTCTGTGATAAGCTATCAGAGACCCGTATACCTCGCCCTCCTCCACCTAACTCTGCCGTAATCTATTTAACCTAGATGTGTGATCGATCACACTGGGACAAATTGCCTCAGTGTCTGAATTCCTCTCATGAATGTCAGCTCCTCGAGGCTGAATCTTTCCCTTTCGCTCACCAGTGATTCCCATCTCACAGAGCCTGGCACATTTCTGATCAACACATGCTCAGACCACCCAATCAATATGGACCCAGCCTCGCACTCCCAAGCCTCCCTCTGCTTCTGACTCCTGCTCTGGCGTTACTGTACATGGCTCACTTCATGGACTCTATGCTGTAGCCAACACTGTGCATCTTGGACTTTTCTCTAGCACCCCTCCTATGTCCTGAAATGCTGTTATGGGTTGAATTATATCCCCCTCTGTATTTAATTCCTAGGAGATATGCTGAAGCCCTAAGTCCCAGAATCTCAGAATGTGATTTTTTTAATGTTTATTTATTTTTGAGAGAAAGAGAGCGAGCAGGAGAGGAGCAGAGAGAGAGGGAGACAGAGGATCTGAAGTGGGCTCTGCACTGACAGCAGAAAGCCCGATGCGGGGCTCAAACTCACAACCCATGAGATCATGACCTGAGCCGAAGTTGGATGCTCAACGGCCTGAGCCACCCAGGGGTCCCCAGAATGCAATCTTGTTTGAAGACAGCATGCTGACAGAGGCAATTAAATTAAAATGCAATCATTGGGGTGGACCGTAACCTGAGATGACTGGCATCCTTATAAAAAGCGGGGGGAAATCTGGATACGAAATACACATGCACACAGGAACACAGCCAGGCAAAGACTGGAGGCATGCTGCCACCAGCCAGGAAACAACCAGAAGCTGAGAGAGGTGAGACCCTTCCCAAGAGCCTGCAGAGGGAGCATGGCCCTGCCAGCACATTGATCTTGGACATCTAGACTCCAGATATGTGAGACGATAAATTTCTGTTGTGTTGACCACTCAGCTTGTGGTTTGTTGTTAACAGCAGCCCTAGGGAACGAATACAAATGTTCTTTGCCCAGGCTGAGGCACCTGTCCATCTCCATTTCCACCCAGTGGGAACCCTCTGGATACAGCAAGTTTAGGATGAAATACCATCCCCTGGTGGGATTTTCCTGATCCCCACCCATATCCCCTCTCTGGATCCCTTTAAAATCACCTCTCAGCACCAGGGGCTGTTCGGGGTGAACTTTAGAATCCCCTCCTGCATGAAATCTATTCAAGGACCTGAGCAACTAATCTGGCTAATCTGGCGGCGGGATTACGTTTTCAGTCAGCCCACCTTTGTTGACCACCATCTTTGTGCCAGGCACTGACTTAGACATAGAAGAAGGTGAGGTCCCTGCTCCTATGGGATTTACCCTCTAGCCCAGGGAAGAGAGGCAAGCAAGTGCAGAAAGAAATTAGCAAGTTGGTTTTCAGCAAAGTGGTTTCCACTTTGAAAAAAATAAAGCAGGAACTAAGAGAAGGCAGAGGGAGAAGGGTGAGAACTCCAGAGAGTGGGATCAGGGAGGGCTCATGGAGTCCCCGAGGATGGAAGCAGGCAGCTCTGCAGAGGGCTGTGGGGAGAGCACTGGAGGCAGAAGGAACTGTCAGTGCAAAGGCCCTGAGGCAGGCACAAGCATGGCTTGTGCCAAAAAACAGAAAGGCCACGGGGGCTGCAGCAGGCAAAGCCAAAGAATTTCTATTTTCTTCTTTTCCAGTCTTCCACATAGATCTTCTGCACTGAATAGCACTTTCTTCCTACTTTTTATTTAATTAATTTATTTTTTTGAAAGAGAAAGCACAAGCAGGGGAGGGGAAGAGAGAAGGAGAGACAGAAACCCAAGCAGGCTCCATGCCATCAGTGCAGAGCCTGACTCGGGGCTCACACTCATGAACTGTGAGATCATGACCCAAGCCAAAATCAAGAGTCAGACACTTAACTGACTGAGCCAGGCAGGCGCCCCTGAATATCACTTTCATAATCAGAAACAAAAATGGCTGAGGGGCGCCTGGGTGGCTCAGTCAGCTAAGCATTGGACTCAGTTTGGGCTGAGGTCATGATCTCATGGTTTCTGTGATCGAACCCCATGTCAGGCTCCGTGCGTGGAACCTGCTTGGGATTCTCTCTCCCTCCCTCTCTCTCTCTCTCTCTCAAAATAAATAAATAAACTGAAAGAATGAAAGAAGAAAGAAAGAGAAAGAAAGAAAGAAAAAAAGAAAGAAAGAAAGAAAGAAAGAAAAGAAAAGAAAAGAAAAGAAAAGAAAAGAAAAGAAAAGAAAAGAAAAGAAAAGAAAAGAAAAGAAGGGAGGGAGGGTGGAAGGAAGAACAATGGTTGAGAAAGTCTCCAGAGCTGTGGGGGTGACGCCCGAATTGGTCCCCACGTATCCCTTTGCCCTGATCTGCCTCCAGCCCCACCCACTCTGGCTCAGGGCACATTGCTGACTCCAGATGTCCTGAAAGCTCATGCTAACATTCCCACACCGCCTCCCACCTCTGGCTCAGCAATCAGGCCCCCCCCCCCCCCCCCCGCCCCCAGCTGCTCTGGCCTCAAAAACTCCCCCACTGAAACTGCTCCGTGCTGAGTCTGGGCCACCAGCCTCTCCAGCCTGCCCTCCCCTGCTCCCCCTGCACACTTGGGGCTTGGGCTGTAGCCAAATGGAAACTTCTCAATTCTCCAGCGGCCCACCCTACTCCCCTCCAGGACTTTGCACATTCTGTGCCTCTGCCCAGAACACACCCCCTCCCCACCTCGGCCTGGCCTACCCCTGCCCATCCCTAGGACTCCTCCTCCAAGAAGGATGCCACCTCCTCCAGGAAGACCCCGTGCATGCCCTGATCAGGTCAGGTGTCCTGGGAGTGAGTTCCCATGGCTCCCAGCAACACCACCCCATGTTCTAACAGCCCACTGCAGCAGACACATTTTGCGAGGGCTTGCCACCCCACAGGCCACCCTTCTCGGAGAGCTGCCCCCACCGCTCCCTCCCCTGAGCTGTTGTCTAGAACAGTCCTGGCCCTGGGGACCAGAGCGGAGGTGAACATCTGGACTTATCTGCACCATCAGATGCTTCCTTATTGGGGCTGAAAGATGTTTGCCAAGTGTTCCTTCTGGTGACTGAGGGAGAACAGACTGGGGAGGGAACTATAGACCAGCCAAGCTCTGCCAAGGGCCAGAGGGCTGGGGAGGCCTCCTCCCACTCTTTCCTGCTCACAGCTCTTGGGGAGACCCTCTGCTCCTGGGACAAGATGGGATATACTCGCCAGGCCCCAAGCAAGCCACAGTTCTCTGCCTAACACCAGGCCCAGCTTTCCTGGTAACCTGGGCAGGCCTCGTACATCTGCAAAGGACATCCCTTCCTCTGGTCTAGAATAAGAAGGGGTTTGTAGCCCCCACGTGGGCTCTTCGCTGATAGACTCTGCTGTCTCCTTCTCTGATATGCTCTGTCTCCGGGGTCGGCACCAGCTAAGGGGGAAGAGCTCGGGTGTCTGAGTTAGCCAGCCACACTGGAGCCCCCCACTGGCTCCTTCCTAGCATGTGACTGTGGGCAAATCTCTGAACCTCATCAAGTCCAAGTTTCCTCTCTGGGCTTCCTATCAGGGTTTTGGTGAGCTAATGTTGGTATAGGGCTAGCCGTGTGGCTGGCATAGAGCACGCTCCATTGTGGGTAATGGCTGTCCTGGTTATGTAGCAGTGAGTGAGCTCCCCATCACTGGGGGTGTGTAAGCAGAGGGCTGGGGATCAGCTGTCAAGGACGCTACAAAGAGCACGTACAGGCTGGGCAAGAAGAGAGATTCAGTGACATCTAAATTTCTCAATCTCAAAGGTCTCCCAGTTTCCTTCCTCCAGCAACTAACCCCTGGCCAACCTTGCCACACAGCTGAGCTGAGCGCTGATTGCAGAGGGCAGGCAAAATGTCAGAAATTTCCCCCGGAGATGGAGGAAGGGGTTTTTGTGGGTTTTTCTTTCTTCTGCTTGCTTGGCGGAAGCACAGAGTCAATAAAACTCCAGCAAAATGCCCCGCCCACCACACGAGAATGAAGTGCTCACCTACCCCCAGTCTCTGGGCCATGGAGAGGAAACATGGGGGAGGGGAGCCCCCTCTTCCCAAGTCACATCATCTAAGTGAAGGGAGCTGGGGACCCATATGTCACTCTGCCTCCACCCACTTCACCGGCAGGGCCCTGCCAGGCAGGGGCGAAGGCAGCTGGAGGGCGTGGGAAAGGGGTGTCTTTCTTCCTGCAGCTGGAAGTATGGCTCCTATGGGAAGTCACAGGGCCCTGTGGGCCACCCCGCCCCGGCACCCTGACTGCAGTTGTCCTGGGGAGAAGCAGTGTGTGAGCAGCCACACGGCACTGGGCTGGTGAGGGAAGGCTTCACGGAGGAAGGGGTGCCAGGATGCAGCAGGTGGAGGCAGCAGGGGCGGGCATCCCAGGTGCAGCAGGCACGAACGGAGACCCAGAGACCTGAAAGCACACAGTGCGTTCAGGGGACACCAAGCACAGCAGTTCCGGTAGAAAGGCCCGGGGGAAAGAGGCTGGAAAGGCGGCAAGTGACCTCAGGACAAGAAGGAACAATAAACAATTGTTGAGTGGGTGGACAGAAGAGCAGGTGAAGGGGGCGCCTGGGTAGCTCAGTCGGTTAAGCGTCCGACTTCGGCTCAGGTCGTGATCTCACAAGTTCGTGGGTTCGAGCCCCGCGTCGGGCTCTGTGCTGACAGCCAGCTCAGAGCCTGGAGCCTGTTTCGGACTCTGTATCTCCCGCTCTCTCTGCCCCTCCCCTGCTCACACTGTCTCTCTCTCTCTCTCCCAGAAATAAGTAAAACGTTTAAAAAAAAAAAAAGAAGAAGAGCAGGTGAAGGGGGTGGGAGCTGTGGGTAGATGGGAGGGGCTGGGTGGGAGCAGCGTGGTGCTGTGGCCTGATTATGTTCCCCGCCCCCCGCAATCCATATGCTAAAGGCCTGACCCCCAGTGTGGCTCTATTTGGAGAGAGGGTCTTTAGGAGATAATTAAGGTTAAATGAGGTGGGGGGGGCGGGGGACGGCGCTCAGTCTGTTAAGTGTCTGACTTTGGGTCAGGTCATGATCCTGCAGTTCGCAGCTTGGAGTCCCCCATGCTAACAGCAGAAGGCCCGCTTTGGACCCTCTGTCCCCCTCTCTCTCTGCCCCTCCTCTACTCACACCCTCTCTCTCTCTCAAAAATAAATAAACACTAAAAAACAAAAGGGAAAACTGAGATCATAATGGTGGAGCCCTGATCCGACAGGATTGGTGGCCTTATAAGGAAAGAAGAAAAATGTATCTCTTCTCTTCCCTTTCTCTCTCTCTCTCTCTCTCTCTCTCTCTGTCCTTCAGCCATAACAAAGGGGACTGGCTGCAAGCTGAGAAGAGGAGACTTGTCACCAGAAACCAAACCTTGCTGGAAACCTGACCCTGGACTTTCTAACCTCCAGAAAACCTTCCAGAACAGTGAGGAAACACCTGTCTGTTGTTGAAGCCTCCCGGTCTGTGATATTCTGTTATGGCCCCCAGAGTGGACTGAGGTAGACAGGTGGATGGATGGGGGGTGGGTGGCAGAAGAGATGAGGAAGGGGGGTGAAGGAGACAGAAAGGGGAGGAGTGGGCAGGTAAGAGCATGGGTGAAGGGATGGGGTGATGGGCTGGCATATGGGTGTGGGGCTGGCCAGTCAGGCACTGGAGTCCCAGATACTAAAAAAACCCACAGGCACCCACCTGATATATTCTGCAAAACCCATACTAACCCACAAAATAAAAGTGAGAAAATAAAAGTCTATTTTTTCCCTACAATGACTACTTTGAATCATTTTTGGAAATAGAACATATCAAATTCTTTCCCAAAATGCTTTCCTCGGTCCTTTGGCGGCCTGAGCACCGGCTGGGCCTTCCCTCGAAGTGGCGCGTGCAGGACAGACTGCGGTTCCCGCCCGGCTCAGGCCACTTACCCTTGGTGACTTTGTGCATCATGGCCTGTAGGTGGCCCCCCTACCTACCCTGAAGGTCACTCGCCCCCACTTCCAGTGGCCTGCTGGCCTCCGAGCATGAGGAGTTCTCCTGAACCATCCACGTACACCTCCCCCCCATCGCCAGCCACGTACACCCTCACCCCCCCATCGCCAGAACTAACTCTGCCCCTCAAGACTGCGGCCAGAGGTCAGAGCCCACAGTTCAGCTCTATCTCATGCCCCACCCAGCGAAGGCCCCTGGATGTGCCTTGGGAACTTTCCATAACAACCACAGCGCAGGGCAGCGCCTCACGACCCTGTGCTGCTTCTTCTTGGGGCCTAAGCATCACCTGCAA